GAAAACAACTAAACAACAAAAGAGGGGCCAGGGGGAAGGTAAGACAGAATAAGAAGTTGAGGATGGCCCCAAGTTTGTAAGCCTGGATGACTGGGAAGATAGTAGTGCCCTCAATAGTATTAGGGAAATTTGGAAGAGGAGAATTTGGAAGTAAAGCAATGAATGAGTTCCATTTTGGACGGTTGAGTTGAAGACGCCTACGCGACAGCCAATCCAAGATGTCCAATAGGCAGTTGGAGATGCAAAGCTGGAAGTCAGGAGAGAAATCAGGGCTGCTTAAAAGGGTGTGACAATCATCTGCGTAGAAATACTCGAATCCATGGGAGCTGATAAGGTCACCAAGTGAAATAGGAAGTTGGGAGAAGACAGGAGAGCCAGACCGCACCCATAGTTGAACTGATTTCCCCAGGGCCTGTCTGCCTTGCTGCCTCCTCCCACATCCCTCATCAAGGGAATTTGCCCTAGGTGAAGGATTTCTAATAGTGACACCGACAGTAGGTTCCCAAAGGAATTTCTTATATAGCTGACTTCCCACACATAGAATTTTAGGATTGAGAACTGAACAGAGTGTTACAGATTATAGGATCATAGGCCTAGAGATGGAAGGGAGCTCAGAGGTCATCTCATTTCTTCTACAAATGAGGAAACTGAGGCCTTTGGAGGTTAAGGCACATGCAAGTTCACCCAGATAGTAATCAAAGCTGGGATTTGAACCCATCTCCTCTGATTCCAGAGCTTGCCCTCTTTCCATTGAGGCAGCTAGGTGGCATTGTGGATAGAGCCAGAAAGACCTGAGTTTGAATCCATCCTCTGTAGCTTACTGGCTGTGACTTAACCTCTGGACAAGTCACTTAGCCTCTGTGTGCCCCATTTTCTTCATCTGTAAAATGGAAATAATAATAGCGGCTACCTATGAGGGTTGGTGTGACGATCAAATGAAATACTATTCATAAAGCACTTAGTACAGTGCCTGGCACATAGTAGGCATTCTATAACTGTTACTATTATTATCATCATCATCATGATCATGCTGCTTCCCACCTAGTGCAACATCCTTATCCTACAGATGACAGCAGTGAAGCTCAAAGAGGACAAACCCTTGTCCGATTGTCATACAGCTAATGAGGAGCAGAGTCAGGATTCGAACCTAGGTCCTCTGACTATGCTTCCTTTTTGGCCACCTATCACTGCGGAAGTTGAACTGAGAGTCATTTTTTCTTTTCATTTTATGACTAGCTACAGTCAAAAACACTTCATTCCCTAGTGGTCAGCCACCTAGTAAAGAGCCTCCCATTCCTTACCTAGGCTAGTCATTGAATAGTCGGTCTGCCAACAGCCCTTCTGGTTAGCATAGACTTTGGGGTTTTTTTTTATGTAATGATTTTTTTTCAATTAATAGACATTTATTTTCTCTCCTTCCCCCCCCCACTAGGAAAAAAAAGAAAAAAGAAAGATAAAGCTCTTATAATGAATATGCAGAGTCAAGTAAAAGTAATTGCTGCATTGGCTATATCCGAATACATGTACCCCACTCTGAACCTTGAGTTCATCACCTCTACATCAACATGCCTTTGTCATTGGTCCTCTGCAATCATGATTGGTTATTACATGGATAAGAGTTCTTAAATCTTTCAAAGTTGTTTGATTTACAGTGTTGTACAAATTGTTCTCCTGCTGCTGCTCACTTCACTCTGCATCAGTTCATACAAGTTTTCCCAGGTTTCTCTGAAACCACCCCCTTTCATCATTTCTTACAGCATGGTAGTATTCCATTACAATCATATACCATAATTCAACCATTCCCCAGTTGATGAGCATTCCCTTGGCCTCAAGTTCTTTGCCACTGCCACCGCGCACACACACACACACACATACACACACGCACACACGCACACATGCATACACACATACACACACGCACACACGCATACACATACAGAGAGCTGCTATAAATATTTTTGTACATATTGGACCTTTTCCTCTTTGATCTTCTTGGGGTATAGGCTGGGTTAAAGGGAATGAGTAGTTTAGTGACTTTGGGAACATAGTTCCAAATTGCCTTCCAGAAGGTCTGAACCAATTCACAGCTGCACCAACGATGCATTAGTTGGGCTGGTCATGGGACCAGGGTTGGAATTACAATTCTGATATTTACTAGATACTAAGGTGAATTTATCACTTCCTGTCTTTGGGCTTCAGAGTGAAATGTTTGGTCTAGATGACAACAAATATCCCTTTTCCAGGCTGAAATCCCATGACTATGTTCCTAGTGCACTAACTTCTTTATGACACCTTCAGGAAGGCTGAACTCTCTCCTGACTATTTCCCTGGGAACTGACATCCTACAAGGCTCGTCTTTTGGACCTTCAATATTCCCAGCAAATCCTCTCACTCCTTCCCTAGGCATTTAGAGAACTGGGGAAATAGTTCAGAGGATTGACTTTAGTTTGGGAAAAAACCAACCAAACAAAAAACTTTGACTTAACTTATTTTTCTCCCTTTCCTCACACAGATCACCAGGGAAAGAACAAGATGGTTAAAAAAAAAAAAAACCATATGTGGTCATCTGGCAGAAGTCGAAAGCCGTGATCTCCTCTGCCAAAAGCCATGATCTACCTCCCAAGAGAATCCAGAGAGCTCAAATTCTCTTTGTTTCGAAAACCATATTTCCTCCTTTTCAGCTTTGTTCCACAGGGGCCATGCTCAGATCTGCTAAAGGACTGAATCCATGAGCCCCTTCTCTTATAGGACCTAAGAACCCTACCCAAGGGAAGAGGTTAGCTTTTAAACTGTGAGGGATCAGGGGAAAAAATCTGTAAAAACATATTCAGAGCTGCAAGCCCTGGGGCCAGTTATCCTCTTTGGCACTTTTCCCTGATGACTGCCACACACACTCCTGGCGTGGCCCTGCTCTATGGCATCACCAGATTCTCTCTGGTCTAAGGGGCTGGACTGGCATAGATGGTATCAGAGTAAGAAGGCTGATCATGCCAGCTGGGAGCTAAAAGGTCTACCCCCAGGAACAGAGAGAAAAGACTGATCCATAGCTGAGAAGTGGAGAGGGATAGGGGTCTATAAGAAGAAATTTTCAGTGCCTGTCTGAATGGTGTGGTTATTTCAGAATTATTCAGCAAAAACTTGTGAGCAAAATCAGAAGTCTTGGTCTCTTAGTTAGAGGCAGAAATGACATAACACTAGTATAATGTTCTCTTCAGAAACCAGGGGAGAGATGAGAAACAGATCTGGGGAACAGACTTCCTTTGTCTCATGGGGGCAAAAATTAGAAACTGCCAGATTCCTTCCCTCTACCTCCATACACAATGAGCCCTGGACAATTCCTGCCCCCTTTAGACTACAACTAAGATAAATAATCTAAGTCTTCAAGATTTGGCTCCTTCTAAGGAGGGAAGCAAGAATCCTGCTCAAGTCCCAACACACTGGGGTGGCATAAAACATACTGGGGCTGGCTGAGCATAACTGGATGCTTCAAAAGCCTGGGCAAATCACTGATCTTCTCTTGGCTCAGGGTATAGTACAAAAGGCACCAGGGAAGACTTAGGTAATGGTGATGCTTTGATAGTCCAGCTAAGGGAGTCCAGACATGGGTAGAATATTCTCCTCCTTCTTTTCTGTCCCAGACTCTCTGCATTAATTTCTCCAGTTGGGGGAAGGAGGTGGTGGTGCATCATGAAATCACCACATATGTTCATTGCCTGACCAATCTAGGTAGAACTGGCCTTCCTAAACACAGAGTTTGTTTCCATTAACCAAGTTATCCCCACTTCCACTCCTGCCCTAAGCCTTCCCAGTACATAGGACAGCCTGCAACAATTTTAATCATTGAAAGAGATCTCAAAAGTCATCTATTCCATGTTGGCAGCTAGGCGGTGCAGTGGATAGGAAACTGGACTTGGAGTCAGAAAAACCTGGGTTTAAATCCCACCTCTAAAACTTTTGTAACTGTGTGTCCCGGGGAAAGTCACTTAGCTGTTCTGTGCCTCAGCTTCCTCATCTGTAAAATGAGAGGGCCCTTCCAGATCTAAAATCTGTGGTCCATCCCTCAAAGTAATCTGCACTCTGCCATACCCCTCCAGTACTGGTCCCACCTCCAGTGGGGAAGAATTTCACTTTTGCATAGCTCTAATTGTTGAGAAGTTTTTCCTGACATCAAACCCCAATTGGCCTTTCCGCATCTTGCCCCCATTGCTCCTGGTTCCACCCTCTGGGGCCAAGCAGAACCGGACTAATCCTTCCTCTTTCACCTAACAGTCCTTCAAAAGCTGGAAGACAGCTATCAGGCCCCCCACTCCACCCCCGAATCTTCTCCCCTGAGTGATTTCTTGTTAGACTCAGCTCTCCCTGGGTGTCTTTTTAAGACAAGACTGGGAGCTTTGCCTCTGCAGATCTCCAAGTCTCCGGTGGGGAAGGCTTTCCCCTCTGCCTCCCCCATCACCACCCACCACCCAACCCTGAGCCACCCAGAGAACTAGATTTAAGAAGTCTCAAGTCCTTCTTCTGAGGGAGACTCAATTTGGGGATGAGCAAGAATCGAGGCTTGGGGCGGGGACGGAGTGAGGACCAGACAAGAGCCGCGCAGCCGGGGCTGGTGCTGCCCATGAATTATGGAGGATGCGGGGAGTCTCTGGCTCACTGACTGGTCCTTAGACGACAGCAAATGAGGTAAAGATAAGAGGGTGTGGGACCAGGGAGGGGGACAAGGGCGCGGGGGGGGAGGAGGAGAGAAAGCGCTCTCGGGGGACTGGGAGACGTTAGCTGAGAAATAGAGTGAGCATGTGAGAGAGGGAGAGAGAGACAGAGGAGAGAGGAGGAGGAGAGGAGGGGAGGGGGAGAAAGAGAGGGAGACGGAGAGGGAGAGGGAGGAGCACATCGTGATGCAGAGATGCTGCAGTGGCTAGGGGCGCGCGCACACACACTCACAAGCCGCGGCGGCGGTGGCGGCGGCGGCGGCGGCAGCAGGACGGCAAGAGGCTGAGGGAGGAGGGCGGGGGAGAGAAGGTGGTTCCGGGCTCAAGGACTCCGGCTGCTGCGTCGGCTCGCCTCTGATCCACACCCTGAGTCCCAGGTACGTCCCAGGCCCATGGGTCCCCCTCAGGGCTTCAGGAAGTGGTCCTGCTATGGGCTCCAGACTCGGAAAAACCTCAGCTAAACTTGGGGCCAGGGAGGGGGCGTGGGCAGAGAAGGGGTTGGCGGTACCTGGCTGACTTCCTTTGGCATCCCTGCATCCCCTCCATGGGGGGACCCCGAGAAGCTGGCATCCCACTCGGGGCCCCAGTCCCTCTACATCCGCATCCCTGTAACCTGGACTGGCTGAGGGAGGCTGGGGACCGGCTCCCAGCAGCGTGTCTCGGAATGTAGCAGCCAGGGATGGGGAGGCCCACCAGCCAAGGGGCAGCTATCCTAGGGGAGCCCCGGGGTCCACCCCATCCTTCAAGGTGCCAGGTGTCCCAGCAAACAGTAACTCCAGGATCCTGGTACCCCGGGCTGGCCGTGAAGCCCTGGGAAGAGTAGGAGCCTTCGCTGAGGGTCTGGGGCTGATTACTTAAGCACTTCCTTCCAAAGTCTTTATTTAGTTTCGAGGTTTAAGGTTTTTTGCTTTGTTTTGTTTTCTTTGGGGGGGGTTAGTTTTGTTTTGCAGAATGGGGAAAATGTTGTTTCTGAATGGGGCGGGGGGGGGGGGGGGGGGGGGGGGAGTGGTGTCCACCAGAGACTGGAGTTCAAGTTTTAGGAAGGAAATGTTTAAGGAAAGGGGCCCAGGGAAGAGAAGTGACCCAAGCTTCATCACATATGGTGGATAACAGGAGCTGTGGGGTCTTGGAGCTTGATTTTACTCCCTCTCTTTTTTCCACACCTTCTGGAGAGTGGGAGGGGAAAGATTTTCAGGAAGTTTTAGCTTTCTAGTAAGAGAAGGGGCTAGTGATAGGAAGAAGGAGGAGGGGAGGGGGGAGAGAGAGAGAGAGAGACAGAGAGTCAGAAAAAAAAAAAAGAGTGAGCACACCCAAATTCAAATCCTCCCTCAGATACCTGTTAGCTGTGTGATCCTGGGCAAGTCACCTAACCTCTGTCTACCTTAGTTTCATCATCTGTTAAATGGGGATAATATTTGCCTCCCTGTGTTATTGTGAGGCTCAAATAACACTTTACAAACTTTAAAATGTTATATAAACACAAGTAGCTATTATTATATGTAAAAAGAGTCAGTGATTAATACCAGTCCCTGCATAGCCCACCTGGAGAAACCCTGGTGTAGGGCCTACAGTCTTGGCACTAAGGGGTCCTCCAATTGTTGGGTGGCAAGGAGGGGGAAAGAGGGAGTGATAGAAGCAGAGGGAACCCTGGTGCTGAATAGGTACAGGACCCAAGGGAGGGAGGACCAGGGAAACACTCAACCCCAGCTCCCAGAGGGGTGTGCTTGAGGTCTAGAAACCAGAGATGTCATTCAAGGTTGTTTGGAGGTTTGAGAATCCAGAGGAAGGGGGAGGGGTGGTAGGGAAGGGATCGTGTGAACGTTTGTGTGAAAGAGAGCACAGAGAGAGGATGTGCTCAGAGCCCTACTTGCTCCCCTAGGCAGGACTCTCTTTGTTCTGGTGTTCTGCCCCCTGCTTCATTTCTGTTCCCCTATTTTCCCAAGGCCTCAAACATGTTTCCTACTCAGTACTCGAGGAGGCAGCACCAAAGTGTGCTGCGAAAAGCTCTGGCTTTGGAGTAGAAGAACTGGAGTTCTGATCTGGCCCCTGCCACTTACCATCTTCATGACCCTCAGCAAGGCAACTCTGAGCCTCAGTTTCCTCATCTGTAAAATGAGAGCTTTGGTTAAGTGATCTTTAAGATCTCCTTCAAGCTACAAATCCTATGGTCTATTGGAAGAAAAGAGAGCATGAATAACAAATCCACAGATGATCCCAAACCCATTCTTGTCAAGAGTTTTGACTTCCTCTTCCTAATCTCTAATCAGAGCTGCTCTCGAGGTCTGAGTCCCACAACTCCATTCTGGGAGTAGGCAAGAAGATAGTTCCCAGGCCTTAGAATAGGAGAACAAAGGTTCTGGATAACCCAACAAGAGAGAGAATCTCCCTCTGAATAATCAAAAGTTGGCTCAGAGAACCCTGTACCCCTCTCTCTTCCTAAGACCTGTGGGGAAGGGACTTCTGGCCTGACCAGCCAGTTCTAAGAAGCAGCTAGCCATTCTCCATCCAGTCTCTCTCTACAATGCCCCAGCCACTCATCCCTTCCCAGCTAGGCTGCAGCAATGAAGCAATATACCCACCCACCACCTGCCAGCCTCTCTCGTTTCTTTTTTTCTTTTCTAGCATAACCTAACAGGCAGATCAATATCTTAAAAAACTTTAAAACTATTGTTAGCTTTTTAGCAATAATTACATTTTCCATGATTCCTTCTGGGTCCCCTCCAGCTCTTTGTCTATAACTTTTCCATATACTTTTCAAAATGTTTTTATATAGATTTGTAAATGTCAATATGTAGTTATAGTTCATGTAAGAAACATAGGGTTCATAGATTTAAAGCTGGAAGGGAATTTAAAGGCTGTCTGATCTAATCGGTTCATTTTTCAGAGAGAAGAAACTGAGGCCTAGAGAAATGAAGAGATTTGCCAGAGGTCACCCAGGTTAGGGCTAAGGTGGGATTCAAACCCAAGTCTTCTGGCTCCCAGGCCGTTGCACCTGCCAGGGGACCATACCGCTTCTCATACAATTCTATTGGCTCTGCTTTCTTCACTTTGCATTATTATGCAAGTCCTCCCATAGTTACATTTGTATTTGCCACAGTATGGTGTGTCTCCAAAGAGGCCAGTAGATTTGGAATCAAGGGTTCTGAATCTTGGTTCTGCTGTTTACAGCTTGCAGCTGCAGCTTGACCTTAAGTCAAGTTTCTTCACCACTACAGATTACTCCTCTTCTGTCAAATGGGAAGGATATCTCTTGCCCTACTTGCCTCTCAGGATTGTTGTGGAAAGCTAATGAAGGGTGCTAAATACATGTGGTTTGATACCATCATGAGCTATTTTTTCTAATTCTGCAACACTCCATATGATTCTTTTACTGATTACACCAGTTAGTTCAGGTGGTATTATCCAGGTAGCATTGTTTTTGTTTTGTGTTTACATCCTTAGGGTAGAGCTCCAGTAATGCCAACCCCCTTTCATCCCATCTTCCCCTTGGTACTCCCATGGGAGGCTGAGCTAGGGAAGGAGGAAGGCAAGAGACAAAGGCAGACAGGGGCAGGGGCAGAGGCAGAGGGGTCTTTGAAGTATTGCTCTGACACACAGCACCAACGGGCTACGGACGACTCACAGAAATAAACGTACTATTTCCCTGGGGTGGGGGGAGGGTGGAGGCAGGCAGTCACATTTGTGTCTTTGTATATGTATGTAGGTGATGCCCAATTGCCACCTAATCTCTTTTCTTGACCCTGTTTCAGTGAAAAGCCCATCCCCTTTCAGATTGGTCTCATTCTCTCTGGCTTTACCTACCTTTCTCACCCACCCCCAACCCCAAAAGAAAAAGCTGCCCAGATCCAAAAACAGGTTCCTTTACTCAAAATAGACCATGCCTCAATGCACCCCACCCAGCACAATGGAGTCCTGGGGAACCCAGGAGCAGAAAGAGAATTGAAACAGGATCTTCTATACATAGGATAGGGTTAGGGGCCTGACCTATGATGTCATTGATACACAGAATCCCCAGATGAGGAAACTCTCCTAATAAAAGTTAGTCAGTGAGCATTTATTAAGCACCTAGTTTATGGCAGGGGGCAGCTAGATGGCAAAGTGGTTAGAGTACATGACCTATAGTCAGGAAGACCTGAATTCAAATCCAGCCTTAGATACTCACTAGCTATGTGACCCTGGGGAAGTCACTTAACCCTGTTTGCCTCAATTTCCTCATCTGTAAAATGAACTGAAGAAGAAAAGAGCAGAGTACTCCAGTATCTCTGGTAAGAAAATGCCAAATGGGGCCATGACCTTGTTTGCCTCAGTTTCCTCATCTGTAAAATGAGCTGGAGAAAGAAATGGCAAACCACTCCAGTAACTGTCAAGAAAACCCCAAGGGGCAGCTAGGTGGCGCAGTGGATAGAGCACAGGCCCTGAAGTCAGGAGGACCTGAGTTCGAGTCCGACCTTAAACCAAACACTCGACACTTACTAGCTGTGTGACCCTGGACAAGTCACTTAACCCCAATTGCCTCACCAAAAAGCAAAAAAAAAAAGAGGGGGGGGATTGCTGGCAAACTACACAGCTCCAGAATTAACCTTCTGTACTCTAGTGGAAAGACCAGAGATGTGAGGTTCAAATCACAACTCCAACACTTAATAGCTGACGTTTAACCTCTTGTCTTCAGTTTCTACAACTATAAAATGGATTACCTGCACTCCTTACCTGGCAGGGTTGTTGTAAGAAAAAGCCTTTTGTAATTCTTAAATATGTAAACTATTATTATTCCTTAATATAAAATGAATAAAGGTGACCCTTGGACATAGATGTTAATCACAAAGGTTTTGGGGTTAGAAGAGACTTTCATTAAAGGTACTTTGGAACTTGTAAAAAATGCAAGATTAGAAAGAAAATGTTCCACATATAGTGGTCATCATATGGTTTGCCTTCTCAATGGGTGGTGGAAGGACTGGAGGGAGGGAGAAAATTTGTAACTCAAAATAAAAAATGAATGTTAAAATTTTTTTTTAAAGAAAGTGCATGAAATAATGTTCTAAGAACGACATTGTGACCAAGCCATTTGGCAGACTTCATCAAAGAGTATCCTAACACTAAGGAAAGGACCTTAGTGATTGTCTCATTCAACTTCTTCATTTGTGACCAAGTCATTTTGAGTATTATATTCAAATCAACTACAAAGGACCTATGGAAGAAGATGCTATCAGTCTCCAAAGACAAAGAAGGAACTGATAAATAGATGGTTCTCTCTCTCTCTCTCTCTCTCTCTCTCTCTCTCTCTCTCTCTCTCTCTCTCTCTCTCTTCTCTTCTCTTCTCTTCTCTCTGTCTCTGTCTCTGTCTTTTTCTTTCTCTCTCTCTCTTCTCTTCTCTCTCTCT